TTCAGTACTTGATATTGGTTTGTTCAGGAAATCTATTTCTTCCTGGTTGACCCTAGGGAGTCTGTGTGTTTCTAAGAAATTGTCCATTTCCTCCACATTCTCTAGTTTGTGTGCATAGAGGTTTTTGTAGTATTCATGAATTATATCTTGTATCTCCAAGGCATCTGTTGTAATTTCTCCTTTATTGTTCCGTATGGAGCTTATGAGAGATTTTTCTTTTCTGCTTTTCTTAGTCTAGCCAAAGGTGTGACAATTTTGTTTATTTTCTCAAAAACCAATTTTTTGTTTTGTTAATCTTCCATATGGTTTCCCTGTTGTCTATTTCATTTAGTTCTGATTTGATCTTAATGATTTCACTTCTTCTGCTGGATTTGGGGTTGGTCTGTTCTTCTTTTTCCAGCTCTTTGAGACCATTCATTAGGTTGTCTATTTCTGATCTTTTCAACTTTTGGATATAGGCATTTATGGAAATGAGCTTTCCTCTCAGGACTGCTTTGGCTGTGTCTCACATGTTTTCTTTGTTTGTTTGTTTGTTTGTTTGTTTGTTTTTGAGACAGAGTCTTACTTTGTTTCCCAGGCTAGAGCGAGTGCCGTGGCATCAGCCTAGCTCATAGCAACCTCAATCTCCTGGACTCAAGTGATCCTACTACCTCAGCCTCCCAAGCAGCTGGGACTACAGGCATGCACCACCATGCCTGGCTAATTTTTTTTTGTATGTATATATTTTAGTCAGTCAATTAATTTCTTTCTATTTTTAGTAGAGACAGGGTCTCGCCCAGGCTGGTTTCAAACTCCTGACCTCAAGGAATCCGCCCGCCTCGGCCTCCCAGAGTGCTAGGATTACAGGCATGAGCTACCTTGTCCAGCCTGTCCCACAGGTTTTGATAACTTGTGTGTCCTTTGTCATTTAGTTCAAAGAATCTTTTGATTTGCATCTTGATTTCCTCATTTATGAAGTGATCATTCAGCAGAAGATTGTTTAGTTTCCATGACTCTCTGTAGAAATGAGAGTTCCTGTTAGGGTTGATTTCTGTTTTTATTCCATTGTGATCTGAAATGATACATGGTATGATTTCTATTTTTTTAAATTGTTTGAGACATGCTCTGTGTCCTAGGCTATGGTCAATCTTAGAAAATGACCCATGAGCTGATGAGAAGAACGTGTATTCAGTGGTTTGGGGATAGAATGTCCTGTAAATGTTAGTCAGGCCCATTTATTCTAGAGTTCTGTTCAAGTCCGTTAATTTTTGTTGATTTTCTGTATGGAGGATCTGTCCTATGCTGTCAGTGGGGTGTTAAAGTCTCCAACTAATATGGTGTTGTTATTTATCCATTTGTTTAGCTCAAGTAGAGTTTGCTTTATGGATCTGGGTACACCTAGGTTGAGTGCATATATATTTAGAATTGTTATGTCTTCTTGTTGAACTGTACCCTTCGCCATTTTATAGTGACTTTCTTTGTCTTTTATTACGTTTGTTGATTTAAAAGCTAAGTTATCTGTAATCAGCACCACCACACCAGCTTTCTTTTGGCTTCCGTTTGCTTGAAATATTGTTCTCCACCCCTTTACCTTTAGTCTAACTGAATCCTTGAAGGTTAGATGTATTTCCTGAAGGCAGCAAATACTTGGCTTGTATTTTTTTATCCATTTGGCCAGCCTATATCTCTTGAGTGGGGAGTTCAAAGCATTCACATTTATTGAGATAACTGATAGGTGGGGCAGATTTCTGTTCATTATGTTGGGTTGAACTTTTTTGCTTTGTTTTCTCTCTTGAGCCATTGTAGTTTCTTGGCTTTGATCTTTAGCTTTGAGTAGATTTACATTCATGAGTGTTTATTGTGCTCATCCATGGGTAACACTGTTTTGAGTACTTCTTGAAGGGCTGGTCTTGTCTTGGTGAATTCCCTCAGTCTTTGCTTACCTGAGAATGTCTTGGTTTTCCCTCGTTTACAAAACTTAGTTTTTTAGGGAATAAGATTCTAGGCTGGGCATTGTTCTGTTTCAGAAGAGTGAAAGCGGGGCCCCAGTCTCTCCTTGCTTGTAAAGTTTCAGTAGAGAAGTCTGGCGTTATTTGGATTGGCTTTCCTTTGTATGTTACTTGCTTCTTTCGTCTTACAGCTTGTAGAAGGGCCTCTTTGGTTGATATTTTGGTCAATCTGATGACTGCATGTCTTGATGTCTTCCTGTTTGCATTGAATTTCCCAGGGGTCCTCTGAGCTTCTTTAACTTGTATATCGAGATTTTTACCAAGGCCTGGGAAATTTTCCTCTATTATATCTTCAAATAGCTTGTCCAACCCTTGAGTGTTTTCTTCCCTTTCTGGTAACCCTATGACCCTCACATTAGGGTTCTTCACATAATCCCACATCTCCTGTAGGCTTTGCTCTTTTCCTCTTGTTTCTCTGCTCTATCTCTGTCACTAATTTATTTAATTGGAAGATGTTATCTTCAATCTCTGAGATTCTTTCTCCTGTTTGATCTACCCTGTTCTTGAGGCTTTCCACTGTGTTTTCTAGTTCCCTGAATTGATTCTTAATTTCCAGGAGTTCAGTTAGATTTTTCTTCATTGTTTCCATTTCTTTAGTGAATTTTTGTTCCAGGTCCTGGAATCTTTTTGTGTTTTCTTTGTGTTGGTTATCCAGTTTTCCTTGCAAATCATTGAATTTTCTTAGGATCCATGCTCAAAATTCTGCTTCTTTCATTTTAGTGGTCTGATTTTGATTGATGTCCATTTCTGAAAGGCTGGTGTTCCTCTTTTGGGGTGTGCTTTCCATTTGGGTATTCATATTTCCAGAGTTCCTTCGCTGATTTTTTCCCATCTGGATCAGTTGTTGCTTCTTACCTTTAGGTTTTCATTTGAGTAATGACATGCCGTGTTTAGTCTCTGAGCCAGTAGGTGGTGTTTGTGGGTGAAATTCAACCACACCCTGTATGATAAGTCAGTAGATGCCCTAAAAGGGTGTGCAGAATGTCCTCTCTGTCAGTAGGTGGTGTTTGCTGGGAAGAGCAGGTTACACTGTTGGTTTTGGGTCCTGAACCAGCTCTTGTTCCTCTGGAGAGGCACTCTAGTGCCTCAGGTGGTGGTTGGGGCCCTGGGACTTCCAGGTGTGTCCTTATTCTCCACCTCAGTGAGGGCTTGTCTGGGAATGTGTCTGGGCTGAGCTGGGTTGGGTAAGCCTGCCCTCAGGCACCACCAATGCCATTAGCAGGGGTCAAAGTTCTGTTCTCTGCTTCCAGGAAAAGCTGTCAGGGAGGGGCTGGAACGCCCCGCTCAGTCAGAAAGTCTATGTGTGGGGGTGGGGCTGTCTGAGACCCGCAGTCTGGAGTGGGCCTCACTTCTTTCCACCCTCTCCAACTCTGCAGCTTCTCCTGGGCCTCTGCCAGCAGGCCAGACCTCACGCCACCAGGCCTCCCCTGACTGTGATGCCAGCCAGGAGGTTCCCTGCGCAGGAACGCCACCTGGGCTGGGCTTATGGCCTCCCTTTGGGAGGAGGGTTGCCCTCTAGGACGCTGATCTGCCCCTGAAGGCACACACACCTCAGTAGGCTGTTCCCGTATATCCCTTCTGTGCCCCGGGCAATGCGAGACCTCGGTGCACAGGATCTGGTCTACAGGTCTGACCTCTGGGCCCGGGAATTCAATCCCTGATCCCACCAGGGAGAGGAGTGCTGGTCCCAATTCACCCATGGGAGCCCAAGCTGGGTCTATGTGTCTCAGCCTCAGGGTTTGCCCCATTCTCCTGGGATCACCGTGCCAGCAGCACCTGGGAGGGTGGGCGGGTAGGGAGCTCACCGTGTGAGTTCCACTCAGTCAGCTGTAGGGCCCCAAAAGGGAAGGTCCCGTTACCAGTAGGTGCCTCCAGCTGGTGGCTGTATTGTCCCTCTCAGCAGCTGTGGGTAGGGTCGGGGGAGGGGAGGCAATATGGCGCCTGCCGCGCGGCTCGGGTCTGTGCACACGGAGGTGCCCGCAGGAGTTGGGAGCCTGGTGCCACGCCTGCTACTGGCTTACCGCTCACTGGCGGCGGCCGTCTCTGGGCTGGTGTCCGCTGGTTTCCAGGCTACTCGGAAGTTCTCTGCTTCCAGTTCTCGTCCGCAACCTCCTCCTGTGGAGTCTCCCGTGGTCTCTGTAGTCTCTGGTACCCCCTCCTTCCGACCCTCTGCTTGCTTCTTTCTTCTAATTTCTTCTAGAAACTGTCTTTTTTGCAGAGGCACTCTGTCGGTGTTTCTCGTCCACCATCTTGCTACCCCAATTGTTCATTATTATTAAAATTTTTATTAGCCCAATTTTATAAATGAGGAAACAAAGGCTCAGAGAGGAGGTTTCTTGCCCAAAGTCACATAGCTGGGAAGTGGTAGGGGTTTTTAGATTTTTTATATACTTTTTTTTATCATATATAATGAAAGTTTGGGGAATTGCTGGGGGACTAGATACAAATAGAAATACAAGATTTTTTAAATTGAGATATAATTCACATACATTCACCCTTTTAAAGTGCACGGTTAGATGGTTTTTAGTATATTCTTCCAGCAGGCAACCATCAATACTACAAGTTTCAGAACATTCTCATCACTTCAAAAAGAAACTCTAGACCCAACAGCAGCCATTTCCCATTTCTCCCAGCCCTCAACCACGGGCCACTTATGTGCTCTCTGTCTCTGGATTTTCCTGAGATATAAGCTTTTCAAGTAGCCTTCTGTTAAGAGAATAGAAGAGTTATTCACTAGGCAAACTGCAGGTGTCTGTCCCCAAGGGCCCCCAACATGCTGGGAAACAGTGCAAACAGAATATAAAAGGGCAAAGTAAGAGGTTTTTGAAACTGTAACTGAGGGAAATTTTTTTTATTCATATGCTTTGTAAATCAGCCATCAGAGTAAAAAAAATTAATACAGTTCTGGAGTTGTCTACCGTAAAATCATAGGTACTTGGAGACTCCAGCTCTTCTGCCAGTGCTTGCTGTTAGCGCCTTCCCCGTGTGAACGTCTCTCATTCTGTCCAATAGATGAGAATGAATGCTCCAACCCAAATGCCTGCGGCTCTGCATCCTGCTACAACACTCTGGGCAGTTACAAGTGCGCCTGCCCCTCCGGCTTCTCCTTCGACCAGTTCTCCAGTGCCTGCCACGATGTGAACGAGTGCTCGTCCTCCAAGAACCCATGCAATTACGGCTGTTCCAACACGGAAGGGGGCTACCTCTGCGGCTGCCCGCCCGGGTACTACAGAGTGGGACAGGGGTAAGGTGGCCGTCGCCCTCCTGCACACGGGAACATGTGGCCTGGGGCTGGCCCTCCCTCCCTCAGTGAATTCAGGCCACCTACCCCACTAGGAAGGGTCCTGTGTTCAGAAGCCCAAGAGGCAAAAGAGTGTCCTTTGGCCAAGGGTGCACAGGGTATGCCAGTAAGCACCCAGAGGCGCAGGGCTGTGCTCACGGAATAGGGCTACTTCCTTTGTGGTGATCGTAAAACTTGAACTCGTATGTGAGCATCACGCTTTGCCCCTCGTAATGGCCTGAATTAATGCAATCAGACCGAAGGCCAGAGACAAGCAGATGTTTAACAATACAGCTCACATGTTGCCGTAGATACCTGGGCCGTGAGGTACAAGTGGAAATGGTCTGCCTCAGATTCCTTTATAAATCCTGGCAGGCACTAGCCCAGCAGTCCCTGAGGAAGGAGTCTGCCCCTCTCTTTGCTCATCTGGCTTTTATATTACACAGAGAGAGCATGGTGGCTAGTAGGTGTGGCCCCACTCGGCAGCTCAGCCTGGGCCTGTCTCCGTGGGGCTGGCTTCCCTCAGGCAAATCGCACTTCCTCAAGTCCTGTGGGCTGTGGCTGAGGGACTGGCCACTTGCATCCTTCCATCAAGGCAGCGGTGCTCAGTAGCACAGAAGATGGGAATGTATGAGTCAGTCCGAGTCACCTTCCTCAGAAGAAGCAGTGTGCAAGGCGGGGCTGGAAGCATGGAGCAACCTGTCCAGCACTGGTGTACAGTAATACTGAAAACAAAAGCCTTGGTCTAGGTGAGGGTCAGTAAGAGCCAGTTCAGTGACTCTTTCATTAACCAAAGCACTAGCTGAAAAATATGAATTACTAAAGCAGGGAGCTTTGTTGTCAGCAGCAAACACAGGCTGTGGGCTTCTGAAACGATGGCACCTCCCTTAGCATTCTCTTTGGAAGTGCATGCCCTGCTTTCATCTTCTTGAGTTAAACATACCCAAGTGCTTCTATCTAATTAAGATTGAAAATCAGGGGTACCCAGGGCTCACCCTCAGAAGAATTTTTCTGTTCTAAAATAAGGGGAAATCTCATGCATTGGGTGTTGAAGAAAAAAGTTATAAGGAATCTTAAGGTTTTTGTGTTTATGAGCTGAGAGGTTGCTTGGTTGGTTTCCTGTTTCTGAGATGTCTTTGCTCTGCCACTGGAAAATTACGGTCAGAGTTAATGATAAAGTCTGACAACACTCTGCTTCTTGCGAATAGCCACTGTGTCTCAGGACTGGGACTTACCAAGGGGCAGTACCTGCCACTGGATGCAGAGGGCGACGAGGAAAGCGCCCTGTCCCCGGAAGCGTGCTATGAGTGCAAGATCAATGGCCACTCGAAGAAAGACAGCAGGCAGAAGAGAAGTGTTCACGAGCCCCCGCCCACTGCTGTGAGTAAATCTCACTTTGTTTTGCCACAAAATATTCTCCACATGGAGTCATGTGTATAATGCCGGGTATGTAGTTTGCAGCCGCTGTGAAGTTAAACCTCTCTTGAATTTTAATGGATAAATGAATGGACCCAGTATGATAAAAGCAAGTAAATTAAAATGGGTTGTGAATTATTAGCTCAAAACACAAAGACTGGGGGGAAAAGACTAAGTTTCAGATTATTTTCTTTTGTTTTAGTTTTTGATTTTGCCGGGGGTATAAAATGTCCATCTAAGAAATAGTTTGAAACGATTCAAAAAAATGAAATTATTTTGAATTTGTCCAGTTTTGTTTTATACACGTATAGTACTCGTGGCTGATTTTATTTTCAGAGGGTCAGCCAACTAGGTCTCACACTCTGTGACTTATTCATAAGATAGTTGTTTCTGCCACAAAAATTTTTGTCTTCAGATAACTTGTATTTTCTAAGGAACTGAGGATCTGAATTGCTGGCCACTGATGTTTCCTTTCCCTAATGACATTTTGACAGAGTGGTTAAAGGGGTGGGCCACAGTCCACTTGGTTTTAAACATAATTCCATGGCCCTCCCCAATTATTACCTGTGTTACATATTCACTTAACTTCTCTCAACCTCAATTTCTTCACCTGTAAAATGGGAATAAAAATACTGTTGAAGGTTGATGGGAAGATGAATTGAGCTAAAATATGTGGACAGCCTGGACCGGTGCCCGGCATATACATCCCACATGCTCAGTTCATGGTCGTCGTGAGTGTCACGTACCTAGAGATGACAGTGATTCTCCCAAGGATTAGAGACAACATGAGGTCATCACTTACCACCTTCTTCAGTTAATATTACAGAAGAATTACCCCACCAAAAACCTTGTCCACAACTAATCAGCTCTGTAAATTGGGTAACTTGCTTCTGTTTTCAGGGCTTCGGAAATTTTCTTTATCTATACAACCAGACTTCTCTAGCTAAAAAGTTTATGATTCTATTTTGCAATAATGAATAAGCCATGTTACATTTACCTTAAGTAGACGAAGTATCCAACTGATGTTTAAGTATGACAGTTGAGAAATTTTTATCAAGTCCTAAAACTACAAATCCGGGAATTATGCTTATAAAGCCTTCCCATTGTGGTACTTGGCCAGTAATTCTGCCTGAACATTTCTGGGCACTCTGGGGCCACTACAGCCAAGTTCTTACTTAACAGGTACCCTATCAAAGCATTATGAATTTCAGCCTGTCTTATTTCAATGTTTGTACCCCACCCGATCCTGTGAGCAAGTCAGACTTGGTTTCTCTGGGCCTTGCCCCGCTGGCTTTTATCAAAGCTGGCTCAGAGTGGAGCCCTGAGAGCTCTGCGGAACCCCACTCTGCATGGCATCGGAGGCTGCCAGTACGGTCAGCTCGTCCCTGATGGGCCTCCCCAGGCAAAGCTGAGCCTTCGGGGTGGAGATTCCCTAAGGGGCAGTCCCTGCTGTCGGACAACAGAAACACTTCCAACATTCACTTGAAAAAATACAATCATTTCCTAAATTCTTTTTTAAAATTGTTAATAAATGTGATATTCCATAAACTCATCAAAAAAAAAAAACTAGAAATGTGAACACTGTCTGTAGGCTCAGTCCTGTAACTTTAATGACCTCGTTAAGGCTGAGTGAGAAGTCGTGAAGAGTAACAGGGCTTCCCTAGGGAACTGGCCTTTTCTCCCAGCTGACGGCATTTACAGTGGCCGCTGCCCAGAAGGAGAGTGCGGAGAGGGGGTGGGAGGCCACAGCCTGCCCGCGGGGGGCACCCCGCCCAGATCTCTTCCTAGCCCTCTGCTCCTGCAGTGGAGGCTTGTCCCAAATCGTTTCCCGCCCTTTCTCCAGGTTGAACAGATCAGCCTAGAGAGTGTCGACATGGACAGCCCCGTCAACATGAAGTTCAACCTCTCTGGCCTTGGCTCCAAGGAGCACATCCTGGAACTGCGGCCCGCCATCGAGCCCCTCAACAACCACGTCCGCTACGTCATCTCCCAAGGGAACGATGGCGGCGTCTTCCGCATCCACCAGCGGCACGGGCTCAGCTACTTGCACACGGCCAAGAAGAAGCCGGTGCCTGGCACATACACACTGGAAATCACTAGCGTCCCTCTCTACAAGAAGAAGGAGCTGAAGAAACTGGAAGAGAGCAAAGAGGACGACTACCTCCTAGGGGAGCTTGGGGAGGCCCTCAGGATGAGGCTGCAGATCCAACTCTATTAACCCTTCACGGACTTGGGTTCCAGGCTCAGATCCCAGCCCAGCCCGCCTTCAGAAGAGTCGATGATTAATTTTAAAGAGGAACAAAATGACTTTGTTTCTTTCCTCCCTGTTTCAGACTTTGAATGTTGACCCTCGCAGGGAGGGATAATTTAGACTCTGGTGTGGCCAAAGATTTGAGTACAAAGGCAACCGTGGTTACTGTATTTTTTATATAACTTCATTTTAAAATATATTAAAAAAACCTAAATGTTCAAGAGATCAGCATATGGCACTAAATGCACAAAAATAATGTGAGCTTTTTTTTTTTTTCCTGTTAGCAGTCTGTAACACTTTGGGTATTTTGCTATAGTTGCTAATTAAAAAATATAGATGTTTATTTATTTTTAATGCAGTAATATATGGAGAAATGAACAAACTATGTAAACAAAAAGGGAAACTCACTGGTTTTTCTTTAGATTTATAAATTTGAGCTATTTCTTTTAGAGGTACTTTTTAAAAATTCAGCAGATTCAAGAGATGTTTTCCTTTGGTTTTTCTGCCAGTCACCCAACTGGTACACACCTGATTATTTTAAAGAAAGCCTCCCAGAGCTGAATGGGCAGTGGAATCAATAATTTAAAAGATGTGAATGTCATTAGATCCTTTAGAGGGGAGATCAAAGCCAGAGCAGCTCGCTGTGACAACACTTCACGTCACCAGACATACCAGGCAACGGAAGATGAAGCACGACCACTGTAGCAAAATACCTTGACTGCTTGTGAGAACATTAGCATTGCAGGCCAAACCGTACTGTACTTCCTTCTCGTAACCTCAAGGAGCCATGTGTGCTACCCGCAACGCCTCATTCTGACCCAGGGTGCGCTGCATACTTGTGGTGCTGCAGGCAGCTGAAGAACGCCACTCCTTTGCAAAGGAGCGGTGGCGTTCTGTAGTGTTTGGTGCTGTCTTAGATTAATGGTGCATTTACTATGTTCAAGCTATTTCAGGATTGCCATATGTGCAAACAAATCATGCAGTGCAGCCAAGGAATATATGTTGTTGTTTTTTTAAAATTGGTTTTTTTTTTTAGAATTTTCATTAATACCGTAGTTATACACCATATGCCTTGTTTTAATCATAGCCTATTTGTGTATGAAAGATGTTTGTACAATGAATTGATGTTTTAGTTTGCTTTAGTCATTTAAAAAGATACTGTTCCAGGACATGCTAATAGGAGTACATATCCGTGTTCTCAATCCAAGAACCTGTCGCTGGACCAGTGACCAAACCTCATATGTGAAATGGCTAAAGCACACGCAGACTCCCGGTTGTTCCTCTCACACCTGTGTTGACCAAAGATTAGTAACCAGTTATATCCAGTGTTTGGGGTTTTTTTGTTTTGTTTTTTTTTAATAACTAAGAAAAGAAACAATGTACATTTGTAATCAAGTGTTTGTGAGGAAAAACTTATGGCTTTTGGTTTTGTCTGTTTTGTAGGTCTGTGTATCAAATATGACACTTTTCTTGCAATAAAGCTTATTTTGGGGTAGTTTTCTGGCTGAGAGTTGTGTGGGACCGCAGCTGCCGTGCGCGGGAGGGGCTGGGGCTTTGTCGCGGATCCGCCGCAGCTGCGGAGCCGGAGCCCACAGGGCGGGCTGGCGGGCGGCCGGAAGGGGGCTGGCGGGCGGCCGGAAGGGGGCTGGCGGCCGGCGGAAGGGGGCTGGCGGCCGGCCGGAAGGGGGCTGGCGGCTCTGCGCGCCCAGAAGCCAGGCTGGTGGGCGCGCGACGGAGAGGACTGTAAGGCAGTTAGTTGTTCGCTTCTGCGTAGATTCTAAGCTTTCTGAGACCCATCTCCACAGAGACTTTAAAGAATTTCTTCACTTCATGCCAGAGTACCCCAAAAGTATCCATGAGAAAGCAAAACATTCGTTTAGATAGTTTTCCTTCTCTATGGTAGAGATTTTCCTGAACCTGAGCTTTACAACAAAAGCAAGAGCCAACATAGCCCAGACCAAATGGCATTTTCAAAAATAATCCAAAGCTCATCTCTTGCAATGCTATACATTTACTCAGTGGAGAAGCAGATGGCTTTACCAAGTTATTTAACATGAACACTCCCTTGATACACTGCTAGAACGAGCATAGAAAAGTTTCCATGAGTCTTAGAAGTTAATTCAATACATGGCTTAAAAATTTATGTGCTTAAATTTTTCATCCTAGTAATAAGAAAACAAGGAAATATTATGACTGGTCTTAGTGCTGTTCTTTGCCAATCAGAAATTAGCTGCATGAAATAAGAAAAGTATTTGCCTCTGAGCATCCTTTAAAACTTAACATGCATATTCAGTTTCATCTGGCATCTATTACTGGTACAGGATGAGCGTACAATATGAAATTACCTGGAACCACGTTTGACTCTAGCCTTCCATGTTGAACACTTAGTTTACCTTTAACCTGCTTTTGAGGAAGTTTTGAGAATCCGCCTCTTTAGATGCTTTACTCAGAAGATAAAAGACATTGGGGCTTTACATAGATGAATGTACTAGAAGGAAATGACCACTTCAAGACACTCTTTCCAGGAAGAACCTTCTCAGGTGCCTCTTGTAGCTTTATTGTGGTTGTCTTACTGTGAACACTGACACAACCATGATGAACTTAACGACCCTCTAATAACCAAGTGTTCATGCTATTTTCTGTACCAGTGTGTCATTCCCATTAATTTCCCATTTGCCTCAGAAATTACCTTGGCTAAGTTATAGAAAACCTTGCAGAAGAGTGAAGTGTAATGTAAGGCCAGATGTAAACCAAATCCAGCTGGGACATGTATTAGTAACAGTAAACAATAATTTGGTGTTCAGCTGACATGAATTCTCTTTCCACTTATATTTAGACTTGGAGCTTTTAAAACTCTAATCTTGTTTAGTACCTTTTGATTTTGCTGCTTACATGCAGTAGATGAAAGTTGGCCATGTTTGGAAATGAACACTGAAAATGATTCAGGGCTGGCACATAAGGGGTACACTAAATTCATACATCTGCCATTTTTCATTATCTAGGAATATCGAACAAGATCATTCATACAGTCTTCCTTCTAAATGCCCCATCTTTTTGTTTTGCATGAATTGCCTTCTTTTTTCGCAGAATAAATGCTGGGGGTTGAAGGTGATGAATAAAAATAAAAATTGTAGAGCATCAATCTAGTTGAGTCCTACAAACCTTTAGGAAAACAAGTTGATTCATGTGTTAAACTGAAGCATGTGAAATTGCTGATATTTGGCCACGTCTGACCCACAAAATGGCAAATTCATATGGTTCAATTTAATGGGTCAGAAATATACATCTTCCTCAAGACTGGAAATCTCAAAATCTCTCTTCTCTTCAAAGGACAATAACTTCCATTCATGCCTTTCCATGAGGCTTGTGGCTCTTTTGTACTCTTGAATTACGGTAGTACATACAAGAATATACAATTTATTCAAACAGCCACTTTCTTTCATGCTCCAAAGGCATTAGAAGGAGTCCAAATCACTTATCTTTGGGACTTTGATGGGATTACTAGAAGCTGTTTAAAAACAAAGACAGATCCATTCGGAATGGTTGGGAAATAGAATAGTGCTTTTTTAAAAATATAGAAAGGGAAAACTTTAGGAGCTTTCACGTCCAGAGGGAAAGATGGTGATGCACTGCCACCCCGCAGGAAGTAAGGTGTCGGTCACGTCTGCCATTCCAGCCGGATCTGTGTCTGATACCAGACTCTTGTTCCATTTTTTTAAAGCATGCTTGTTTTCTCAAATAAATACAAAACCATGGTTACAATACCTTGTATTTAACAATGGTTAAATACAAAACCTTGCTTAACCCCTTCGGTGCGGCGCTCCCGGCCGCCACGCCCCGCCCGCCCGGCACGCACGGCGCGACGCCCCGCCCACCCGGCACGCACGGCCCGCGGCGTCTGCGCTGCGCACGGCCTGCGGCGTTTGCTCTCGTGTGACGACGACAGCTGGAAGCACAGAGAGCTCGCTTCACTTCACAGGCAGCTTTCCTTGTAACGTAAATCAGAACAGGTAACACACACATATATGTTTTCATTACGTTATGTTTAAATGTTCACAATTTTATTTTGATAAATGAAAAATTAGAAAAGTCACATCACGGCTGCCGGCTACGGTCGCTGTGCGCGCCCCTCTGTGGCCGTCGGCTGCGGTCGATGCTCGTGCGGAAGTGGTTAAGAAGAAGTATATGATTCTGAACTGAATACTCCTTGAACACCCTTTCAGTGCGCAGAGCAGTGTAGTCCCAGAATATAATGTAGAGCTTGTTCAATTCAGCAGTTCATCCACCGACAGCATCATCTCACCATTAAAAGAAACGCAGTTTAGAATCAGGCAGACCTGAATTTCAATTCGATCTCATTGTACAAGAGCGTAACTTCTCTAAGCCATGGTTTCTTTGCTAGGATGATCTTTCCCTACAGTGAGGCCTGAATGAGACGGCTCGGGTAGTGTTGTTAGCACAGGCCGGGCAGACAGCACTCACTCCCTAACCGCGCTGCCTCCTGCCCCTGCCGCTGTGACTGCAGCCACTGCTAGAAGAGTGAGCCCGCACATCCACACAAAGCCCGTCCTCAGCATGGCCCTGAAACGGCCGCTTCCCATGAAATTATAGGAACACACCCAGATAAAGAGCATCCAAGACAAGTATCTAAGTGGTCTGCACCTCTAGAGAAACTTCAGAATCCTGCTGTGGTCAAAGCGTTCACGATCCCCACATGGCTCTGCCTGCCCCTGCTGCAGCGCTGGCAACAGCCCGGCAAGGCCAAGCCACAACAGTGGTCAGAGCCTCACATCCACAGACCCCCAGGAAACTGACACGCAAGAGAACCCGGACATCTGATCGTCCCTTTTGGGATGATTTAGTGTCAGGGACTGTCAGAGGTAGAAAGGCCTTTAGAAACCCACTCCTATTTCCAGATAAGGAAACGGAGCCCTCGCACAGCTAATTGCAATGCTAGTTTCTATGGAAATGAGACCGGCACCCTGGTTTCCTGGTTGCAGTCTAGTGCTGCTCCTATTTCCACTACGTGGTAAGCCTATTTGGCTTTCTTTTAAATCCTAAGGATATAGGCCAGTTCTCATAGTTTTGGCTCATTCTGAACCCAAAAATGTTTTCCAAGCACGATTCAAGCACTGCTTTTTGTTTTGTCTACCCCACCCTCGGTGTAACTGCTCCCAACCTCTCATAAACCAGACGTCTGTGCGTGCACCGAAATGCCACGGTACTGGCCGCTACAGAGTAGGCCCCACCCCAATCCTGCACTTTTTAAAAAATACACACTAGGGCCCTGCCTTTCCAAGGGTTAAATATTTTATTTAAACCAGACCTTCAAAACTTTAGAAACACATACACATTTGTTTTACTAAGAATGCTTAAGGAAAGTACACTAGTTGCTTGTGTTGCTTAATTGTCCTTTTTTTCCTCTTTTCCTGTGAGCCTTAAAAAGGCATTACTAGATTAAGTTGGCTTATTTTCTAAATAGCCAAGAACCAACAGCTCCCATTTGTCACCCCCATTAGGGCTGCAGATTAAATGTCAGGATGTAGTGTAGGCATTTTCCAAAGGAAAACAGGAAAACACTTTACATGAGTTTTAGAGCAAACTATAGGAAAAGTTAACATGAATACCCTTCCCCAGACAGCTACTGCTGCATGTGTGAGTTCCATTAATGAAATAGCAGTAGAAGCTGTGAATGGCCAGTTCCTAAAAATGTGTCAAAAAAGCAGCCTCTGGGTCTGCCTAGGCTGCCTAGTTCTCCGCCCTGGGGTTCCCTCCTTCCTCCTGCACCACCTGACCCGGCTCCCCTGCTCTGGGGGAACCTGCTCCCCCAAGGCTGGATTTAGAGCCTCGGGCCTGTGTGTTTGTGAACGGCAGGCCTAACGCAGGGTCTTAAAACCCATGACCATAGACCAGCACCTGGGCCCTCAGCCTGGAATGAACCTGTGTCTTAGTCATTTTGATAAACTTCCCAGAGCCAGGGCCAGAAAATGCTCACTGAATGAATGAAGGGACGGAGGGAGAGGATTCTGACTCTCTGCAGAGTCCAAATGTGTGGACCACCATGGGGATTCAGACCTCCTCCCAGGAGTGGATAGTTTCACAATAATGATCTTCCTGAAAACCCTCTGAACAGATTTCTGGGGGTCATTTTGGAGGTATCTTCCCTTCTTTCAAGAGGATGTTCTTGATTTATGCTGCTTTTCTGCACCTTTCTAGAGAGCCCCGTAGGCCTTAGCGGGGTGAGAGCAGACCGAGAACTGGGGCAGGCTGACTGCAGCTTGGACAAGTCCCGGGAGGGCACCCTTCCTGCAAACCTGGGCCAAGGCTGCTGCTGCTTCTGTAGTGTCACGGGTGGGGGAGAGGCACCGTAACTTCTCTTCCAAGAGAGACGTTACGCAGTTCTTATTTGGGGAAAAAGCTGATTCAATGAATATGTATTGGGTATTATCCAGATCTGATAATATTTTCCCTCCAAACCTTACAGATAATTCAGAG